TCAAGACTAACGTTGGCAGTCTCACCAGGTAGCGCACGCTCAAGCTCGAGACGAGCTGAGCGGAAGTGGTTCCGCATGTCGGCTATCACATCGTCCACGCCGTCCCCGGAGAATCCTAAGCCGGTGCATTCTTGGGTGACTCCTTCAAGAGCCTCGGCAGCATCCGAAGCACGGGACAAAGCATTTTCTAAGATCTCCATGATATTCTCGAAGAAGTTCGATGGTGGAGATGACTGGCGGAAAAGGCTACTGATTGTAGGGTCATTGAACCCTGAGATTCGTGATCGACATGCGTCGAAGAGGCTCTTCCTCTCTTTCCTGGCAGCATCCAAATCAAGGGACAGGGAGCGAATATCAGATTCTTCTGTATTGACTTCAGTCTGCATTTGTGATTCGTCGGATAGCATCAAGCTATCAGTGACGGGTGGATTATGACGCAGGATACCACGGAAATCAGGGGAGCTGGACACAATGACAGCACTGTCATTGAATATAAACGTCTCCCCTTCACTGTTTGAAGATGGAGCGGCGTCATCCAGACTGTGATTAGAAACCAACGATACTTCATCGCAAAATCTAGGTGTCTCTGGCGTCATCCAATACGACTCAGCCACCGAAATTTGGTCCTCCAAGCCCATTCCACCTTGTTTAATGGCCCTGAGTTCATCTTTCAGAGAATCTCGCTCTTGAAGCAAAGCTCGCATGGTCTTTTCCATGTTCCGTGTCTCACGCTTTTCGCGCTCAATCTGATTGATTTCATCACTCAACCCGATTCGTCTAATTCTTCTCTGGGTCCGTGTGTCGAGGATTTGGCGTAGCGGGGTAAATTGGATCCTCCTCTCGGTGCATGTTTCATCAAACGGCTCCTCCGGGTCATAAGACCGCTGAAAGCGCGGTGTTGGGGCAGACCTGCGTCGGGATTTGCGGCTAGGTGTGCTATCCCCAGATCCTGTCTCGAACGATGTTCGACGCATCGCTGGAGTCAAGCCGGTCGACCCAATATCTTCACCATGTAATAACCGAGGACCTGGGTCGGAAAACCGGACTCTCTTTCTTGATTTCTTGGGTGTAACAGATACATTTTTTTGTTGTTGATTGAGACTGGCATCTTCTTGTGCCACTGCCAAGCTCTGCCTAGTCCGGCGTGAGACTGGTGACTGGCTTGTATTTGAGAGAGAGCTCTTCCGTTTCCTTCCTGACCGAGTATCCATGTTGGTAAGGAGAGTATATTGGAATAATAAGGCCAAAACAAAGAAAGCATTTACAAAATAAAAGTGTACGCAGGGATAGGCTTATAAAGAGAATTCGTTATAGATCACAAATAAACAAACAAAGTGGGGCTCTATACATTGTAGTTAGGCAGCAGGGGCCCAGGCGCGTTCCTGGATATTTCCTGTTCGGGCAATGGTAAACAAGACGCTTGTTTGGGTGGTCAGGTGATATTTGGTTCACGTGATATGCTCCGTTATGGGACACGGTATAGGGTAGGTTTGGATAGGGTAGCTGTTATACTCTATCGGGCGCCCAAGCAAGCATGGCTTACTATTAATAACTGTACGAGCATCGCTTTACAGCGTGGCTAGGCGTGAGGTAGACAAGTATGCTATTAATATCGTGGGAATCAGGCATTATTCGTCGCTCAACCCCGAGGCTCAACCTCTATACTCCGTATCAATCCTCGCGCTGACCCTTTCAGTCGAATACGAACTATGGTGTATAGGTACGTACTATACTGTAGAGACGTTATTGGCTGACTCTGACAACATTGTTTCTTGGCATCTACACATAGCCACCAACGCGTTCAACGCGTTCAAGGGGTCTAGAGTGCAGATTAGTACGGAGGGGAATTAACCCTAGTTCATGTGCCAAGAAATCCTATGTTCTTGTTCTATTTACTAGTACCCTTAACTTCCTAGGCTCTCCTCTTAAATGTTGTGAAGGTCAGCTGCGATTCAATCCGACCTTATCGCTTTGCAATAACACTAAGTTAAGTTGATTCTATGTTTTCTGTAGGAATCATAGATTATTTTTTAAATGCTATACGATAATCTATTCACCGGAAGTCCATTAAGAAGATAGCGGCTAAAGAAAGTTAAGCTCTAAGTGTCCTAGCTCCAAATACGAAATTAAAAAGCTAGGCAGTTTTTGTCACGATCTACTATAAATCGCTATCACACGCTTCATGTTTTGCTCGCTTATTATTTGCAATTGTTTACTTCAGATTGTTTGCTACATAGATTGTTTGTTAGCTAGCTGAGCTAGACGTTCGAGGCTTACAACGTTGACAGACAAAGTGGTTAGCAGCTATATAACGGCTTCCCACTCTTTCTTTTCTGATTGACCTGGCGCCTCACAGCTTTCAGATAACATACTCCGTAGTGGCTGGACATAAGTATTTGTACTCCTGGCCCCACACCCCCATGATTATATAATATATTGCCTGCCAAAACCCCATGACTTCATACTATGAAATCTATATATTACGCCTTTTAGGTAGGCGGTATGAGTCTATAGTGACGGTGAGTATGCGGGGGTGCAAAAACTTATGTCCAGTCACTGTATTGGCAATATTAGGCTTATTAGTCTTTCCTGTGACTGGTTCGATCCCCTTTCCAGGGTTCTTATCTCCATGCGACTCTGGGGTTCCCAGTGATGTCATTTACAATACTTTGGATCATCTCTCTCTTATAAACCTCAATGAATCGAAACTCGGAAGGAAAGATGGCGATTACCACCCGTACTAGCCGGGTATGTCTAATTCTTGCTGGTGGAAATACCGTGGACGGCCATGTACTGACGTTTACATGTCGCAGGAACAAAGCAACGATGGCCCCAACGACCGGCCAGTTAATGACAGGCACCTGTCTCCATCGTTCCTTGAGAAATTACCCGCTGAACTCATTCATGAGATTGCATCTTATCTCTCAGCTCCAGATCTGGGTTGCCTCGGTGCCACTTGCCGGGCCCTCGTCGATCATGCATCGAATGACTTACTATGGGCTAGCCTGGTGAACGAGAGACTGCCTACTCCTATCCAGAACTCAGGTCCCTTTGAGTCATTCCGCCGACTTTATCTTGCATATCACCCCTATTGGTTCATTCCTCAGCACAAGATCTGGTTCGCAGACACGGAGCACACGGGGATGCTAATCATAGCTCGATATGATAATCGTCGGGGTGTGATTGAAGCATATCCGGTCTTTGCAGACCGTGGCTTTCCTCAATTTCAAACATGGATATCACACCCAGAAGTTATGATCCAATCTTTTGAACCCAGTGTATACAAGGGGTTCGATCCTGTCTTATTTCTCAGCGACCATAATCCGTCCTCCCGAACAGCTCCAATCCAATCCTTTAAATCAATGCCAGAGCGCCACATGCCAATGTATTCGGATACGCGACATATGTACACCTCGCTGTCTCTTTGCTCTTCATTTCAACATAGCGAATCTAGGGTCAAACCCTATGTGCTTTGGCCACCACGAACCATTCAGACCAATGCACGTACAGTTCGTGATTTGAGGGACTCATCCCCGCCAATACCGAAACATTTATCGGACTTGTCGGAATCGTTCTTCCGTGTCAGGAAGTGGGCAAACCAAGAGCTTACGTCGCCGGCACCAAACGAACCGGGTCTGACCTTCTCAACTCTCGATCCTGTCCTTTATACCCCCACCACAGCGAAACCCTACCAGGGCATTTGGGTTGGCGATTATTCGGCCCATGGATGTGAATTCCTGCTTGTCTCCCAGGATAACATAATGACCGTAGCACCCGGTGCTGATAACGAGTCGAGGATAACCGACGCCCAGGAGGATGTTAGACATCGAGGTCTGCTGCTGGCTGTCAAGCTGACAGGTGACCCCAATGTTCCTCGTGGACAGTACTCATTTGTTGCCGACGACATTGGCGCCAGCGGCTTCATTAGTATTGGGACGGAAGAGCCTTTTGTCGGCGCCCGGATTGTGCGTTGCCGCGGTCATGTCGCTGGACTTGGGTTCCATGACGGTAAGCTGCCTTGGTAGATACACCATATCGATCTTGTCTAACATGTAATTTGCCAGACACCTACATTGAGTCCCAACTGATCCTTATTTCTCCTGATCACATGGCTCATTACTGGAAGGAAATGGGCCATGTCTCTTACTACCGCCGTGTGGACATTGACGCTCTCTAACTACGTATTGTATGATTGACTGGCAAGTTTTTGGGGTTATCGTTTTACTTTATTCCGTTTTTTATTTGTAAAATACCCCCTTATCTCCATGTTATGTTTATTGAGTTGTTTAGGTTGTGATATTGTGAACTGGGTTTAGCGTCCATCTTGGGAGAAAAGATGAGCTCCCAGCAAGGTCCACGATATTGACATAGACCTTCGTCACGCGGTAATCATAATCATTAACTAGTCTCCTGCGGGTGAATCTGGTCTTTTCAGCAGTAGTTCACATAGCATACGATGTAGTTCACAACGAAACTCTCGTAGCTCGCCAGCAATTAGCTTCAGACATGCAGTACCGCCTAGGTATGCACCAATAGTGACCTCGAACTATCCGGGTAGCACCGTCTGACAAGCCCGTGACTTATGTTCATACCTACAAGGAGAATATTCCAAGAATTGTCTGCTAATTTCATGGCTGGATTTGTGTGATGATATAGACATGCAGAAAGATAAAAGGTATCGAAAACAGGCAAAACGCCATGACCATATAAGCACCGGTCGAAAGTGGAGGCTGGAGCGCAGATAAAGATTGGTCATCACTCGTCAATTCGGCTTTAAAGCATATACTTGTGGTGTGCCGGTGATTTAAAAAGACACAGCCACAACACAGACTCAGTCTGTACATACTGATATTGTATCACATTGCCATAGGGCCAAGAGTCAGGGCCAAAGCCAGATATGTGCCTCTAGTCCGCAATCATACACACATAAGACGGCCGAAAGTCAAGTCGCGAGAAAGGGATCGCCGATTGTCTCTCCGAGTCGAGTATGGCGGGGTCGATCATCGGCGTCGTTCAAACCAGGCGGACGAGCCCATAACAGCCACCGACTGGTCCATCATCCACTCGCCAACACCAAGGTAGCTATCAACCCATTTCTTGATGTCTTTGTTGTCTGTGATCTTGTCTGAATTGAGGCTGGGGCTATGAAGTTCCCACGCACACACGACCCAACCGGGGGTGCGCAGGAGTAACAGAGTTAGCTAAGAGTTCTCTCATGGATATCGAGTGCACCCAAGACGAGCAACAAGCAGAATAAACAATAGCTTGGAAAAAGACGATCGTGAGGGGTAGGGTGCATTTACGTGAGGCCCGTGGAGCGCTTGACGCCTGCGAGGAAGGCGGAGACTGCGGTTGAAGGCACTGGTTAGTCTGTATTCGGAGGTACAATATGGACACTTTAGAGGACTCACGGAGAACCGCATCAAATGCGTAGTGGGTAAGACGGCCGAACTAGATTGCAGCACATCCGAGTCAGCCATGGCATGCTCTATGTTCCGAGGACCCCGGTTGTCCAGGATCGGCCAGCAAAGGTCACTCACCATGATTCCGAGTAGTAAGTGTCAACACTGTGGATATTGAGTAACCGGGAGTTACCAAAAGCTTAAGAGGCGAAAGTAAGAGGAGACCAGGCATCAAGACCGCCTAAAGAGCGGTCACGTGGATATTCACATGACGTCTCCCGAGTGGCTGGAGACGAGGCTGGTGAAACTGGTGTACCTGACATAATCCACATTGTGGCTGGGGCCGGATCGGGGCCAAGATTGTCACTAGTCCGGATTCGGTCTATCGATAAGCGTTCTCATCCCACCGAAATCCCTCTGGGGTCTTTGAGCTGGGGCCTGGATCAATTGGGTGTCTGGATTTGTCACATTTACTCGCTACAAGGACTCCAATCTACAGCGCGTAGGCCAGCACGGGGTAATCCTCCGCTTTTTTGCGGTCAGCCCAGTCCGGAGTTGATATATAATTGTTTTTTCTGTTTGGACTGTTTATGCCGCCTCTAACCACACCAGCTTTTAGTAAATAGAGAATATAGCTGAACAAAGAGAAAGAAATAAGAACAGTCAAATCCTCATATGTCACAAAATTCACCGATTAATTTGGTAGAAAGATATGGTCTAGTCGCAATAGTACAAAAAAATGGTTTGGGGATGGAACCAATACTCACACCGGCGGGCAACATTTTTCCTACCGCCCCGCACCCATCCGTTTTCTCTTTCCCCTCCATTTCTCATCCTTCTCTTCTACCCATCCTCCCTGATTCTCAATTGATCAGAACTACCCTCATCCTTTCTACATCAATTCAACAGTTGTTGATCATCTCAAAATGGCGGTTACAAACTCCCTCGACCACCTGAGCAACCGCATGAAGCTGGAGTGGTACTCCAAGCTCAGCACCGATATGGTGCCTGCGAAGAACTTCCGTCGCACCTCCATCATCTGTACCATTGGTATGTCAAAGAAAACATCAGCTTAAACCTACCAGGAAGGTTCTGGTGGAGAAAAAAAACACCGGTTATTAACAGCCAATCGATCAGGCCCCAAGACGAACTCCGCCAATATGATCAATGCTCTCCGCACAGGTATGAAAATAAAGTTTCCGATGGAAATGGGCAGCATTTTTGGATAGTTAGTCTGACATGGCCATAGCCGGTCTGAACGTCGTTCGCATGAACTTCTCCCACGGATCATACGAGGTCAGTATCTCCAATCAACACCCGAATGAAGACCTTCACTGACTTGGCCTGCAGTACCACCAATCTGTCATTGACAACTCTCGCGAGGCCGCTCGTATCCAGATTGGCCGCCCTCTCGCCATTGCCCTGGACACCAAGGGCCCCGAGATCCGTACCGGTAACACACCCGGTGACAAGGACATCCCCATCAAGCAGGGCACCGTGCTTAACATCACCACTGATGAGGCGTACGCCACTGCTTCTGACGATAAGAACATGTAAGATCATTCCCATTCCGAAGAATGGATTGTTTCAATCGACAGTCCCTCAATGTCGCACGAGTTTGACATGTGATGTGGACTGACAACTGTGTGACGACAGGTACCTGGACTACAAGAACATCACCAATGTTATCGCTCCTGGCAAGCTCATCTATGTTGATGATGGCATCATGTCATTCGAGGTGATTGAGATTGTTGATGCGCAGACCCTTAAGGTCAAGTGCCTGAACGACGGCAGCATCTCATCCCGCAAGGGTGTCAACCTGCCGGGCACTGATGTAGATCTCCCCGCTCTCTCGGAGAAGGATATTGCCGATTTGCGATTCGGTGTCAAGAACAAGGTCGATATGGTCTTTGCCTCATTCATCCGTCGCGGCAGCGACATCGAGCACATCCGTTCCGTCCTTGGCGAGGACGGCAAGGAGATTCAAATCATCGCCAAGATTGAGAACCAGCAGGGTGTGAACAACTTCGATGAGATTCTCGAAGCGACCGACGGTGTCATGGTCGCCCGTGGTGACCTCGGTATCGAGATCCCTGCCCCCAAGGTTTTCCTTGCCCAGAAGATGATGATCGCCAAGTGCAACATCAAGGGCAAGCCCGTTATCTGTGCCACCCAGATGCTGGAGTCCATGACATATAACCCCCGCCCCACTCGTGCTGAGGTTTCCGATGTTGCCAACGCCGTTCTCGACGGTGCTGACTGTGTCATGCTGTCTGGTGAGACCGCCAAGGGTAACTACCCTTGCGAGGCCGTTCGGATGATGTCCGAGACCTGCTTGCTGGCTGAGGTTGCCATTCCTCACTTCAACGTCTTTGACGAGCTGCGCAACCTTGCCCCTCGCCCCACTGAAACCTCCGAGTCCATCGCCATGGCCGCTGTCAGCGCCAGTTTGGAGCTGAACGCCGGTGCCATTATCGTTCTGACCACCAGGTAGCCGAAACCTTCCTGTCATTTTGTATGAAGATCATACTAACAAGTCCATAGTGGTAAAACTGCCCGCCTTGTGTCGAAGTATCGTCCCGTCTGCCCCATCCTGATGGTTACTCGCAATGACACCGCTGCCCGGGTAAGTCGAATTGTATCGTTCGAATTGTATCGTTCTTTGCTGACAACAGTTCCAGTACTCCCACTTGTACCGCGGTGTGTGGCCGTTCTACTTCCCTGAGACCAAGCCTGATTTCAACGTCAAGATCTGGCAGGAAGATGTCGACCGTCGCCTCAAGTGGGGTATCAACCACGGTCTCAAGCTCGGAATCATCAACAAGGGTGACTCTATCGTCTGTGTCCAGGGATGGCGTGGCGGTATGGGCCACACCAACACCGTTCGTGTGGTGCCCGCCGATGAGAACCTCGGTCTGACCATGGAGTAAACTTTCTGTAAACTCATCAGATGGTAAGCTTTCGGTGAATGGATGGTCCAGTGTGCTTTTTTTTACCGCCGGTGTGCGGATGGGATACATACCTCTTTTTTCTTTTCTCGCTTTTGTTTCGTTCGAAGCCAAGTTTGTTCTGCGCTGGGACCATAGCCCGGAAGGTTAATACATTGCTCATGTAAATGAAACGAATTTAATGCTTTCCGGTCAAGTGAAATGGGTTAGTAGAGACCACACAATTCAATGAATAGACATAGGACTGATATTTTGCGCTTGAGACTTTATAGACTTGCATCCGTCGCGCGTCGAGTCCACGAATGTTGCTATCGCATGCATGGAGTAACTGCTCCAAATCCCATGCGCGATTCAAACGAGAATGATCCATCCTCTTGGAAGAAGACTTCAGTCAAAAGAATGAAGAGAAAAAAAGAACTTGCACAAAAAAAAACCGATGCGGGGGACGCAGAGCCCGACACCGAGGCCCATCCATGTGCCCGAGGGGATGACGATATCACCCAGGCATATGCCGCTGACGAATTCTGTGCTTACCCCTCTCTGCAGCAGGAGATGATGCGATTTTTGAGATTGTCCGGGCCATTAGCGAAAGAATGAAAAAGAGAATTAGAAAAACAGGGCCAATAATTTCGTTAACAAATTTCGTGGAGCCTTTGCCGCCCCGATCCCGGTTTTTGCCGATGGTTCCAAAGATTAGCCCTTGGATTATATAGATCTGTGTTCATTAGTATCTCTCTTAGCAACGCGGACAGCACCAATTTTATGTATCAAAACTAAGATATTGTTCGTATTTGTCCGATATAAACTATATAGCTGTAACACTTTCGAATTGAACACGTTATTTTGACCTTCTATGTACTGGTGGTCCGTGGATGCTACGATGGCTACCCTTGTGAGATATTCTTCCTGAACTGTAATTATGCTCCTACTGGCAGCCCTCTACCTCTGCCTCTTCCAGGGCCTGGTATGGGCCGCTCCGTTCCCTGCCACCGATTTCTAGTCTCCTCCAGTAAGTCCTGCGGAGTTTTACCCTCCGCATTTGGTTGACCCATCAACATAGCAGCTTCCTCCCCAGCAGCCTCCTTCAGAACACGCATCATCTCATCCTGAAGCCTGATCTTATTCGCAGTTGTCACTTCCTTATCTCTCCCATCACATCGTATATGATCATTCAAAAACCCACGCGCTGCCGCATGAAAGGGCGTCTCCCGGAAAGCATTCCGAGCGCGGAAATCCGCCCCGTGCTCAATTAAGAACCTTGCCGCCGAGACCTGCCGCAAATTCTGGGCAAAGACGTGCAATGCCGTCTTCCCGTTGTTCTCGGCATGGTTGATATTGACACCGTGTGATAGGATTAAATCGAGGAGGGTGGTCTTGATAGGGTCGCCTTGATGGGAGTGGTACCCTAATAGATGTAGGATGGTACAGCCAGAGCCATCGGGGATCCGGGGGTCTGCCCTGTATTCGAGTAAAGTGCGGATAGTAAGCTCGGCGTGTTGGCACATAGCGTGGCTTATAGCAGCATAGTGTAGCGGCGTGGATCTAGTGTTGTCAACAAGGTTGATACTAGTAGAATCATGGTCAAGGAGCAGTCGAAGGGTCTCTGTGATTCTGAGCTGCTTATCTAGGAGTCTACAGTTAGAACCTCCAGGACCGCTAGCTGCCCAATGCAGTGGGAGTCGCCCATCACTATCACAGGAGGAAGCCAGGTCAGGGTTGGTATTGTTTTTGTAATGTTGATGATCCAAGAGCAATTTAACAACATCAGCATTGTAGAATAGACTTGCTAGATGGAGCGTCGTGACATCATACGCGTGACCGTTTGTACTCCTGAATTGGAACGATGCCCTGGCATGATGGAAGTGTTGATGCTTAAGGTAGATATCGGCACCGGAGTTGATGAGCCGTTGAATTAATGGTCCATTAGCCCTCGACACAGCAAGCCCAAGCACACTATCTTGTACCTGACTTCCCCAGGGAGGGATACCATTTGGCAAAGGTGGAATAACATCTGTCGCTGAACAGCCTCGGTCGAGAAGAAGATGAATCAACTCATGGCCCCGCGCAATCCGATCCCGAATCCACTCAGCCCAATGAAGACCCTCATCTTCTACTTCATCTGGGTCTTTATCAAGATACATCAGCGAACCCGCAGCCACGAGGATCGGCGTATCTCCGGAATCATCTCGCTGATGTAAATCCACCGTCCCGAGCGGTAACTGATTTTCTGGACTGTCCAAGACAAAGCGCACTACATCAATATTTGCCGCACCACACGCGTCGAGCAGCAGACGGAACTTGGGGTTGAACCTCTTGACAACTTCCGGGGCCGTAGTATACACATCCAAGAGAATTTGAAGAGCCTCGGGACTGCCGTACGAGGCTGCATTGAACAATGTGTCCTCTAAGTAGGGTGTCCCAGGGGCGATCACATCCTCGGGATTGCATGAGGCGATGAATTGACGGAGTTGAGGGAGGTCGTTTTGCTTTATGATATTCACTAGCCTGTTTCTGCGCCTGCCGATCACCTGAGAGGGAGATCCCGGGGGGTCCGGGGGGTCCGAGGGGTCCGAGATAGGAGAATCGCCCTCTGCCATGACAATTTATTCTCCTTCCTCTCTTTCGTGTTGTTCTTCTTATTATATCTGCATTTCATCTGTGGAAAGAGAGAATGTGCGTGTGTGAGAAAGGGGAGGGGAAAGAAAAGAGAAAGCAAGCAGACGAAAAGGGAAGTTACGTCCCAACCTTGGAAGGCTGGGCGGCCCCACTAACGGGTAAGTCCACGGTCGGTCCAGGGGTCTAGGGGCCCACGGACCTCTCCAAGGCTTGTTCTAGACTCATAGGTAATTATACACGGAGTACTCCATACGGAGTAGGAGTATATACCATTGTACCTAATGTATTGAAAAAACAATGTGATTGTATTGGAATTACCACAGCAACATAAACACAAAGGCGGTGATTCCAGCGGTAGGCCTTGAACCGGTTTTATTCTAACTCACCACCTCGGGACCTCGGCCTTCGGGCGCCGATCACAACCCGAGTTACCGTCAGCATTATACTTTGTACTAGTATACGAGGTTCACATCTAAAATCCACTGTCTATGTTGTATGCCTATCAACACTACTGCCACCTTACAAATTGAACAAATTGTTTAGTTATTATTTTTTTCGGTTCTTGTTGCTTTCGGCTCTTACAATTTGTGGGGCGGCCCGTACATATGCTCAAAATATATCCATTAATTCAAAAACTGTACAATATATCATCCTGAGTATCAGATCCCCAATACCTAGGTGGCATCTATGCCAATTCGCACTCGATAAGACTCTCGACTCCTTTCTGGGTACTCCAAATCTTCGTGATTTTCAACCCAGCAGATCCCACCAGTTGGTGCCAGTGAGCTTCAGTCCGCTCGGTCGAAGCGAAATCAGCCATCATGATAATATCCAGACTGGTTGTCTCCCAGTACGCGTTGGTATCAGGGATGACATTCTCGTTAATCAGCACCTTGCTGTGTCCGCGCTTCATAGCATTCACGAGACCCTTCAAGATCTTGCGGCAGTTATCGTCTGACCAGTCGTGCAGGACAGAGTGCATATAGTAGGCGCGAGCACCTATAGAAGAAAATATTAGTTTTGATCTGAGTTGAGAGGGGGTCATAGAAGGGGAATCATACCCTTGATAGGCTGCTCGTTGAAGAAGTCATGCTCTAATGTCTCGATCGACGGATCTAGCTGTCCTGACTTGGCTTGAGCGACCACATCGGGAAGATCCTCGATCACCAGACGTCCAGGAGCATCAGGCCACTTGCGCTTAAACTCCGAAATATCGTGGCCTAAACTGCCGCCGACATCGACGAGGAGAACATCATCCTGTGTGACATCGGGGAACAGGCTGGGCACGTCGAAGAAACCGACATCCATCCAGCTAGGACGGCCTTGGTGGTAGGCAGACATGTGGTTGTTAAACTGGCTAGCGGCATCTAGGTTCTCCTTCATAAAGTCGAAGAAGTGCAGATCGGTTCGGAACCCGCGCTGGAAAGCGCAATCCTTGCCGTTTGATGGGTTGGTATAGCCGTCCTTTTTGAGCTGGGCAGGTAGAGCAAGCACACCGGCGGTGATGCAATTAGTCCTAACCAATGAGTTAGTATTATCCTTTTTGATTATATGCCCACAAATTCCGACTTACATGCAAGGGTATGCATCATTGTATCGTTGCAAGCTTAGCGAGATTGAAACTCCGGTGCGGCGGTATTCATTAGGACCAGTCTCGAGGATAACTCCCATTGCGCACAAGTGCTTCAGAATGCGAGCTAATCAAATATGTAGTTAGTTAGGTGTACCCACAAAGCACAGGACGAGATTGTAAGTTACGTACCAAGAAGAACTGGGTCAGCACCTGTGGCCTTGGCCAACTCGGCAGCAGACTTAGGCTTGTCATCCTTGGACAAGATAGCAAAAAGTCCCAGATCAACACCTGTTTCCAAAGAAGCGTAAAGAGTAGACTATGGTGTCAATATTAGTTGCCGTCAACAACACAAAGGTACGCCTTATAAGCATGGGAACTTACCTGGGACCAACAGTATCTGATCATAGCCTCACGTGGGGTCTCAAGGGCATAGACCAGGGATCGAGCGGCTTCCAAAAGGGTTGTTCGATCGGTGTTGTCTTGCAGACTGGCGACTTTGCCAAGGGAGGCAATTTGATCAACCAGGTCAGGAACGAGCTCGGGTGTGTTAGCGGAAATTGCTACGCGGTCGACGAAGGCCTCCTGGAGGTCTCCGTTGGTCTGGCAATCTCCAGTTGCATGGATTGTGCCCTCCGTGTGTGAGTTCCCATTAGCTTGGGTGGTTTCACTCAATGTAAGGGTTGCAATGTCGGCCATTGTGAATGTAATATAGATAGCTGGTATAGATAGCTTGGGAATGCAGAAGAATGTGAAGAGATCCAAGTCAAAAGTACTCCAGGGGTCTTTAAATATACTACATTCATTATCTACGAATCCCTTTTTTTTTGAAACAAGCTACAGTCACTGTCTCCTTTTCTTTAATGAAGCTACGCCAGCTGAGCAACGGTTGGACCGGGTTCAATGATATGGATCCGCTATCATGAAGACCGGCTGGTATTCATCTCACTGGAGCCCTGTGTGCTAGAAGATAGGTTCCACCGACACTACGGAGTAAGTCGGTTCCAGTTGGGACAAAGGAAGTGGAGACGCAACGGTTCAACGGTCTTCCTATTAGGGTAACAAACGAGCAGATTGTCTAACGGCTCGCCTGAGCCAAGAATATCACTTGGTATGTTGTGCCTACGTATGTTGTATATAATAAGTACCGAATAAAGGATAATCACAATAAAATTAGAGCGTATGGGCCCACATCCATGGATGGATCTATCACAAGATGTTCCGAAGGAATACTCATTATACGTTATAGGCAGTTGATGTGCTCAAATGACCTGGCTAAAGCTAATTCCCCATCCAAGTGCAAAAGTACAATGTATGTACTTTGTCCTCAGCGAATCGCGTAAATATATAAGCGGAGTATGTGGAATTGATCAGAGAGGGCTGAGATTCTGATAGAATCGGCTCAGTGGACCGGAATACATTGATATCCACACCAAATACCCATAGTGAGACGGCTAATCGCGCTTTTTTGGTGCTTTTTTTTAACGATATTTCGCTTGTTCGCACGGGCTACTTCGTGCTCTGTACTCCTTATATTCGACGACGTACTTAACCCCGTAGTACTCCGTACTCCGTACTTTTGTCTATTTTCAACTTGGACTTGAAAAAAAAAAGACCCACGAGGCGAGCTTGTGGATTAGAAACCACCCACTCTCTTCGTATTACGGTGGGACTATTAAATTCAGGTTGGATTGTTAGCACATTTTTAGAACCCAAAATATGATCTAGACTTCACCCAAGATCTACACTGCATGGTACAATTGTTTCTTTCTAGAGTACGGAGTAGGTTGGCCAGATATTTCCAAATAAAACCCCAGTTATTCGGCATGAGGGCAGTGCACGCGGAGTATCTCCAGCTACTGCCTACGATGCAGGCCCGTCCACCGGGTATTGGGGTCCCATTCCGAGACTGCTGTCATTTCGTTTAGCGGCATCGACTAACTAGCTAGCGTGACAGGGATCATACCCCTATCCGACTACGGAGTACTCCGTAAAAGCGAGCTAGCTATAATACTATTGTAGACGATGGGGAGATAAATCGTCAAACAATGATGAACAATGCGCTTACCAAAATAGGACGATCATCGCAGCTAAAATCTCGAAGGATTGGCTGTTTAACGGAGTTTCAGGAAAATAATAGTACGGAGTGACTGATCGAATAATGCCACACTGAAGTCAATCCTGTACTTACTTCCATGTACATATCTCATGTGAACTTTTATGTGCTATTGTTGGTTTTAGAAGGCCCTTTCCTGTAGGGCTATATATAAACTACTCCATAACGGGGTCGCACTCTCTCGCACTTTCTGGCCTTTTCCCGCTGTCTCTGCATCAAGATTGAGACAATGGTGGTCACCGCCGGAAATCTTCACGATGACAAGGGTCCCAAGATCCTGGCTGTACTGTGGACCTTGACGGGGCTAACTGCCGTTATGGTTGTGGCTAGGGTCTACATCCGGCTCAAGCTACTGCGGAACTTTGGTTTGGATGATTATTTGATTGTGGTTTCCATGGTAAGAGGCTTTCTGTCCTTTCGAGGTGAATCTAACCGGAGCTTGTGTACTAGATAATGGGGTTTGCATATTGCGGAATCTCTACAGCAGGTGTGGGTGTGGGTTATGGAAAACATTCCAAGTACTTGAGTACGGACAATCTGGAGAAGGCCATTCTACTCAATACAGTCAGCTTTTTGTTTGGGATTTTCTCTTTCACTCTTCCCAAGATTGCTGTGACTTCCATGTTGACCCGGATCTTGAACCCCAAACCACTGCATAAGGCGATGCTGTGGACGATGGTTGGAACCACAAGCGTCGTGTCCATTATCTGCATTATAATCTTGTTCACAATGTGCGATCCAGCAGAGGCATTGTGGAAGCCTGAACTTGTCGCAGCAGGCGCCAAGTGCAAAAGTACATCGTTACTCATTGACTTTGCTATCTTCACTGGATGTAGGTCTCATCCCCTTGGAACATATGTCTTGGAATTAACCCCATACTTCTAGCTATCTCTGCTCTTGCTGATCTAACTCTGGCCGTTTATCCAACAACCGTCTTGTTGAAACTCCAAATGTCTCTACGAAAGAGAATTGCGCTATGTGCTGCTTTAGGGCTTGGTGGAATGTAAGTTGATACCTCCCCAACTCATACCATACTACCCAGAAGCTGACCAGAGTGGCGATGAAGTGCTTCTGCGATGGCGATTATAAAGTGTACCCAGCTGCGTGGACTTGCCGACAAATCCGACTACACATGTATGTCCTTATTATCCTTCTCGCTTTAATCAAAGGCTGACCAAACAAAAGACGGTACTGCCGACCTTGTCATGTGGACCAAGTAAGCATCTTCCATCCGATCCTCTTGTTATATGATCTAACCCTTTGTTCTCCGTCTAGTATTGAGGCCGACGTCGTCG